CTGACTCCATACACAGTTTCAAGTGTAGATATGACAGAGCCCGATAGGCTCAGGAATCTGTTCACCTGTTGGTTGACGGTTGAGAGGCGGGACCAAAGAGCCAGAGCTCAACCCCCGCAAACACAACTAGGTGAGTACACACACACACACACACACACACACACACACACACACACCATTCCTCTCAGCTAACTACTCTCAAAGCTACTCACAAGTCTCCCTCAAATCCATACTCCTGCCCCAACTTTCCACACTAACCCTTTCTGACAGCACTTCCCTCACCTCACTCCGAATTGTACAACCACCGTGAACATCCTCTCCACACACCCTACAGTAATATTCTCCATGCATGACTACCGTGAACCCTCACGCTCTCCCTTAATGAACCTTCCCCCACACCGCTCATTCTTGTAAACCCCTCCCTTACCTCATCACCATCTCCATCCCTCCACTCACCAACACTACTCCACTGCCATATTTACTCATGATCTCTGCCCCCTCATACAATAGCAACAAAGGAACAACGTGCAGTAACAATACACACAATTTGTTCATTTAATACACACAATGTGTGGAACACTTGCAACACCTGCATACCCAAGTAAATAATATAAATAAACATGGTGTTGAATTATCTACTTGGTACCACAACCTCGTCCCAATCCTCAATCTTTTCCCAAGTGTCACCAGCCTCTGTATCCATTGCCAATTTACGCTTATGATCAACTTCCCCTACTACCCTTATATGTATATATTTTCAGACGTAAAATTAATAGAATGTGAGGTTCGGTTAAGGGACCTGAGCCATCCATAACTGAGGAAAAGGAGACAGAAAAGGCATGGTCTAAACTTATTTGATACACAAGTTCATCGATTAAATAGAAAAATAAAATTTTAAACAAAGGTGCAAAGAACAGGGAAAATCAGAAGTGACTATAATGCTCGTAACATTTAGAAAAGAATGAGGCTTATGATTGGTATTTCATTCACTGGTAATCAGCAGAAATTTTAGTGTTTTAGTTAAAATATGATCTTTATTAATGAGTGTATGTTTCCAAGCAGAAAGAGGTTACAGATAGAGGATAGAATTCAGATTAGATGTAAGAGTATACAGTTACATTCAAGATTCTCTAAGAAGTGAAACTTCTAACGGTGGAAGTGAGTCGACGACTAAACCCCCACACAAGAAGATGAGGAGACGACCACGTTTCGGTCCGTTCCAGACCATTATCAAGTCGAGTGTGATAATTCTTCGAAGTGAGTCGAAGTAATGTCGTCCGCTGAAGACTGATGCACCGTGAACATTTTTTATAAGTTTGCAGAGTCTTAGGAAACTTGTTGGACGGTAGTTTGAGCGTTACTATACGTTGACAAAATAAATAGAGGTATTTTGGGATGTGGAAAAAAATCTCCACTCAAGTGATGCAAAAGATTAAGTGTTAAAGGTGTTTAATAAGCATTTTATTAAATGAATCCTGCTCTCTTTGAGACAGAAGTGAAGACAAAAGATTGACATTTAGGATTGAAGAGGTTTTATTTTTTTCGGAAAAGTTGACAGACGAAAGTCAAGGTATCGGGTTCGCGCTATTTCTTTGTATTAGTGGCTGTTAATCGTTTTAAACAACTGTGGGTATCCTACACAGAAGATGAAAACAATAGTCATGAAGGCTGTACCCTTGGAAATTCAAATTCAAATATAAATCATTTATGTGGTTGCTTTTACCAAAGAAAAGGGCAGCTGTTGAGCCACGTGACTAAGCTGCAGTCTTTAATAGAGAGAAAGTGAAGATTACAACTATAGAGTCATTGTAATGAAACAGAGGAGGCAAGAAAACAGACAGAAGTTGTACAATCGACTCTCTTGTATATCATGGATATACTTTTCATGAAGGAAGGGTAAACTCTCCTTGTGGGGGAAGAATATGCTCACACCTGAGGAGAAATATATACTATGCTTGAAGATGTTATACCTCTTCAATGGAAATGTTAACGCTCCTCATGGAATGTTTATACGCTCCTTGAGTGAAGGGTTCTCCTCTCGGAATGTTTGTATACTATCATCGATGGAAGCGTTCATTTACAACGATTTTTTTTTGTCACTGATATTTCTGGGCAGCCATGTGTTTCTCACATCAGTATTACTTGGGTGGTGGATGAGTGTTTATGTCGTGGTTTGGCAGCAGTAACGTTACATATTATATGTTTTACACCTTTTTTGCGTTTTTATATCTCAGTGGCTACCTTATTTGATTTATAATTCTGTATATGGGTATTTGATTTTTTATCTGTATATGGGTATCCACGTCTATAGCGGTCCATTTGTGTTCATAATTGGTCGAATTCTTGTATCAAGCACTAGCTGCTGTGTTATGGTCTCTGTACATCTTCTGCATTGGTCTAGCTGTAATTATTTTCTTGTGCTAGAGTCTTTAGGTACGTGAATGTCTACATTTCTCATTTTGGTTGCCAATTTTCCTGCTTGGTCCGCAATATTATTCCCTGGTATTCCTACATGACGTGGCACCAAAATTATAAATATTCTATGACCCTGACATTTGAGTGTTTACTACAACTTATTTGTTCAGATGGATATTGTCACCACAGTGCTGTTGTTGAAAGGTTTCAGTTGCAATTCTTGATACTTCATGCATAATATGTCGTCGATGTTCAGAAAGAGCTTTTTTGAAGATTTGTGAATGGTTATCATCTTTTTTGTGTATGTAGAGGGGAGCACCTATTTCAGAGTCTCCAGTAATGTACAAAATTACATTACATCTTCCCCATACCCTCAGGTTCAAATGAGTTTTCCAATGGGTGCTGATCCATCTTTGAAATATGTAACACTGTTGGATACTGAGGTCATTTCTACATTCATCAGTGCAATGATGTTTTGCAAATGTGGGTCTTATTGTTTTTTCCTTGATCAGCCAGAACCTAAGATCTGCTGGCAACAATTTCAACGGTGTTTGCATAATGAGATCCGAATGAATTTCGTCGACAGCTTTTTCACTTCCCCGAGGAAAGGTATCACAAAAAGAAGATTTCACCATCGGGAGAATAGGTAAAAAAGGATCATCCATATGATGAATCTGCTAAATATATCAAAGAATTTAGATAAGTTTGTTGAAGACATATTTTTAGCCTAAACCAATTGTGTCATTTGACAGCATTTGTCTACTGAGAGCAAAATTTAATGAAGATGCTTCTAGTAAAAGGAGGGCAGTACAAAAATTTAATATATGTACCAACGTTGAAGAAGTTACCTTTCGCTGAACATTCAATAGTTTTTTTTATCATACTCAATATCAGATTTTAAAGATAAGAAAGTGAAGAAAACTGCCAATAGTTGTGTGGAGGAGGAAAATGAGTTATCGATTAATTACAGCAGGCTGAAGTAGTGTTTGATAGACACAGTTAATTGGACCCCCGACCCAACGTTAGTACCCTGGGGTGTTTAAACACACTAATAATAAAACAGTCCGTCAGATGATGAGTTAGATTAATAAATCTTCATATATATATTGCACGATACAAAAGCTATATAGAATCAGATACAGTAATTTTGTGTCAAAAGCAAATAAGGCAGAGAATCACAAAAATATTTGAATATAAGGGCTATGTTTAACTAGAAAGACAATCAACAAGACATTTTGTTTATCTTCTTTGTTCAGTGGTGGGAACAAAGAATTCATCAAGCAATATATGAATCAAGCAGGACATGAATTCATCAAGCAATTCCACTACGTCCATTACGAAACTTATATATCTTTTACGAGATGATTGAAGTTTACTCGGTATTTATTAAATAGTTTCCGAACTTCAAACATTTGCAACACAATGTCATTAATATTACGCACCACCTCGTAGCGCTACGGAGCACATCAACTAGTATATAAATGTAAACTAACCCATAATCAGGGTGGAAAGATGTACAGGTTCCGTAAGTGGACATTTAAATTGCTTCGTGAATCCTGGCTGATGGCAATGATTATGCCAGCACCTCTCATCTACTGTATTGTCCCACCATTAGATTTCTGGATCCATGTCTGTCCACCAGTAATCCCCTTGCAGTCAATCATGTTGCCTCCCTTCCTATGCGTAGCTATTCTTATCTTCCAGCTGTACCACAGCCTTCCAGTATTCCCGAGAAGCGACTGGTGGAGAAAATGGAATAACGTACGGTAGCATGCCCACTCACAACCTCCATTCTTCTAGTTTGCATTACCTCTCACAATTGCAACATTAACAAATCACCATTTTTGCGACTGTAACAGCTTCCCACACACCTGACTGCCCTATTACTTCTTATTTCAGTTCAGAAGATACTGGCTGATTCATCCTTTTTCCTTCTTTATTCTCAGGAATGACCATTATATTTGTTAACAAACATGGAGCGTTCGAGTTGGGGCTTCCGATAGGTCGTTAGTCAGTAAGATAATCTAATTGCGTTAATAACCATCCAATGTTTGATAGATCAAAAGCCGAACACCTAACTAAAAGATACTAACGTATGATTCATTATGGATTATGATGAGAGGATAAGCAATTGGAGAAAACGTCAAGCGATACCTTGTGAAAAGGTGTGTGGCAGAAAGCGAAAGTTAATGTAATAGTCAGCATTTTTAGACCATGAGGAGTGCCACAGGAGCATAAATAAGCATAAAGATATAATGTGCACATATAGATTTGTTTGAGGCTAGTGTGGCACTCACTGGTGAACAATTAACCCTCAAGTGATGCCTTTGACGAACAATTGAGTATGCTTCTCATTATGCTGAATTAATGAGAAAAAATCATATGACGTTTCTCATTAATATGATTCATGCGAATCTCATGATTCGTTTAATATATGTTTATCCATGTATTAGTTGCTTATTTCTCTGGATATAAATGTCATCAGACCTTCTTTGTACAGGAACCTCTCTAAGTCACTGTGTCTGGTATTCACTTCAGCGCCGTGACAATTACTCTTACGATGATAATTCCGTGTTGACGTGCAGGTGGCGTGGGTGCAGGTGGACACACAGACCATCCTCACTATCCACAAGCAGTTCATCACCAGGAACCCGAGGATCGCACTGCTGCACAACGACCACCGCACCTGGCACCTCGAACTGAAGAACGTGCGGGAGAAAGACCGAGGCTGGTATATGTGCCAGATCAACACCGACCCTATGCGGTATCGCCAGGGCTACGTCGACGTTGTAGGTGAGTCAGGCGCTACCGTCAAGGGTACGTCGACGTTGTAGGTGAGTTTGGCGCTACCGTCAGGGGTACGTCGACGTTGTAGGTGAGTCAGGCAGTACCGCCAGGGCTACGTCGATGTTGTAGGTGAGTCAGGCAGTACCGCCAGGGCTACGTCGATGTTGTAGGTGAGTCAGGCAGTACCGCCAGGGCTACGTCGACGTTGTAGGTGAGTCAAGTGCTACCGCCAGGGCTACGTCGACGTTGTAGGTGAGTCAGGTGCTACCGCGAGGGCTACGTCGATATTGTAGGGGAGTCAGGTGTTACCACCAGCGCTACATCGACGTTGTAGAAAAGTCATGTGATACCGGCTGGCTACGTCTATTTTCTAGACGAATCAAAATGAAGCGCCCAATAGTTACTAACAATCATACAAGCAAGGACTTACAAATGAATAACGATGAGCTGAGGTACGTTGGGGTAATTAGTATCTCCCTGCACCAGAGACCGAGGTGAAGCTGCTGGGACAAGCAAGTTGCTAAGTACGTGAGTTGAAGGTAAAATATTATGAGCACTACTAAGACCACACAGGGAATTAGGGACCAAAGTCACACAGTGGAAAACGATTCTTATTCAGAGACTTCGGGCTCACCATAGCCCGTGCTACTTGGAGCATTTTGTTCCGGGTAGCGAATCTTAAACAACAACAACAACGATTCTTATTCTGACAACCGACATGAGTGTCTCCTTGTGTAGTTATTTTACAGAATTTATATCTTTACGTTATTCCAGCGATCCTTGAGAAAAGATAATTTTTTACTCTAACTTCATTGACCTTTGAGGAGAGGTAATATCTTATTTTGTTTAAATTTTTGGTATTAAGGAATATAATGGACCATGTACAATCCAAGTTGTTATGGAAAATTAAATATACTTATCATCTGTTCTTGACAGTGCCACCAGACATCATCGACCGCGAGTCCTCTGGTGACCTGACGATACGCGAGGGTCAGGACGTGACCCTAACGTGTAGGGCCAAGGGCCATCCGACTCCCAGCATCGTCTGGAGGAGAGAGGACAACCAGGATATCGTCCTCGACACAGAAAAGACAGGTGAGCCTTAATCAGGACATTGCTCACGTCACTGATATGACAGATGAATCACAACCAGGATATTGTCCTCGTCACTGTTATGAAAGATGAGTCACAACCAGGATATTGTCCTCGTCACTGTTATGAAAGATGAGTCACAACCAGGATATTGTCCTCGTCACTGTTATGAAAGATGAGTCACAACCAGGATATTGTCCTCGTCACTGTTATGAAAGATGAGTCACAACCAGGATATTGTCCTCGTCACTGTTATGAAAGATGAGTCACAACCAGGATATTGTCCTCGACACTCATAGGACAAGTCTCATACACTGATTTGACAGGGGATTTACGCTTAGGGACACTAAAATGATTATTGCATGCATATATTTCGTGTGAAGTACTCCTACTCTGTCAGATCTCTTATTGTGGCTGAATCTGTTGGTTATTTCAATGTTGCTGATCAGGATCTCTCTGGTAATTGTCTTGATATGTGGAGAAATGTTTTCATCGGACTAAATATATATATTAAAAAGTGTTTGGGTTGACAGTTCCCAAGTGTATTTGTAATGACATAAGAAGTATTTGTCTCTTTCCTAGTCAGAACACTGCCAACTTATGGATACTCTCCCGACACAAAGCGAGACGCCATAAAAGAACGAATGTTGTCTATGATTTTACGTTCCCACTTGGAGGACTGTCATCCCCAAGGATCTCACTGTATTGATAACATCTTTTTAAATTCACCTGACGATACATAAACCATAAAGATCGATAAAAACTCTTAATTTTTGGGCATACAACCATACACTCACCAGAGATATTCTGACAAAAATCATCGACATAGTCGACAGATACTACGAAAATAAATATAAGATATAGGCGAAGCACTACATATCAAACACTTATTCAAGTATTAGCAATAAGCTTAGAGTTACGTATATGTTACCATCCTCACGACCAAGGCTGAATATGCAAATCAAATCTTCCCTACTTCAGGAAACATCGACTAGGTAACACTTAACTTCACCTCATCCTACTTGGTAAAATATATTGGAGGGCTAACCACAATCGGGCTGTTAGGGCTGTAGCTAACATGTATCTACTGCAACATAATACATTGTTTAGCGTCAAGCCAAGTTTTAAAATGAACATTTTAAAGTTAATTTATCATATTCCTTTTCAGGTGAAGAAGCGCACATGGAATATATAAAGAATTCGTGATAAAATAATTGATCTAACCTAATCGGTCATAATTAATAACAAACATAGAATACCTATATCTATAACAGAGAATATCTGTCTGTTCGAAGTTAGGGGCTAGACGCTTGTGGCTAGCCTCACGAAACGTTGATGGGTGATTGGTCTGGGGTATGGGCTGGTCAGGGTCACCAGAATTCAAGAGCAGAACATCATGTCAAGATCACATTCTGATCCCTCACAACGATTTTTTGGACCTAGCTAAATATTTTGAAAACAAATATTTCAAACAAATTTCTTTGCAAACCAAACTGAGATTATAATTGTTAGAATATTATCTGTAGTACTATCTTTATTATATCAAAGAAGTGTAGAATTGCATCAATTTCTGAGATGCCGATAAACTGGTACGAGTAGTACAGTAATTGATAAGGAATATCAGGGTAAATATTGGTGTCATTCTGCCAGTTGCTCGCCCATGATCTATATTTAGATTTTCTCAGAATAAAATATAGAAAATTTAGGAGTTCCAAATTCTGAATGCCAATTTTTAATATCCATAACATAATTATCATTGTTAATCTTATTCACCTGAAACATCTTTGAAACTGTAGTGAGGCCAATATCAAGTTTCAAGTTTGTGTAATCGAAGGTGTTGGGGAAGATTTTTTTGTCCTGTTTTGGCTCTCGCTGGTTTAATTACGAAACATTTAACAAAAACATAGCTGAGAAAATTCTACCTTATCTCTAATTAACTCAAAGTTTTAGTCCCAATGAAAAAATTAACGAATCCTTTTGAAAAACTAAGGCACTTCGTTTCGCTCACTATAGTCCTTAGGCTAAAGTTTTATATCGAAGGGAAATAGTATTCCTGGCTAAAACATGATGAACGAAACATTCATCCTTAATGTTAACACGAAGACTATTAGACCCAGTGCTAATATATTTTTTATAAACAAAATAAAATATAAAATTTTGACGATTAGACATTAGTGAGTGTCAGTGTTTCATTGGGGCCTGTAGTGTCTCCCAAATATGGTTAACTTTTGTGATATAATTACAGCAGTCATGGTAGCTCTCATGATAAGACAAGTTGTGATGGAAAGTTGTTTAAAGTTGTTTAAGGAGCACTTGATGTATCATTTTAAAACGTTAACTTTTTCCCGAATGGAAAAGGATACCATTGAGATGTGTAGTGGAGTAGATAACTATCATTGACACTAGTAGTAGGAGATATAGCTTTAAATGACACTTGTAGTGCCACAGATAGCTTAGAGTAACTCACATTGTGGGAGAAATGTTTTTTAGTGACACCTGCAGTGGGACAGAGTACCTGGAATTACGGTTGCAGTGTGAAAGATAACCAGGCATGACATTTGCAGTGATAGAGGTCCTGCTATCAAACATTTTGAATAGCAAATTTGCCTAACACTTTGTTCTTCCCTTATATGATCGAAATGTAGTTTACCTCCATCAATAATGAAACTTCCCAGTAACTTTGTCTATAACTGACCTCCATATCTAATTATATATATTTCGCCATTATAAAAGCTATGTAGTAAAAATTTCATTTCTCTCAATAAAGGAAGCAACTCTAACCTGCAAGTATATATGCAGTCTACCTCTACAGATGACCATAATCTTCAAACATTTAATTTTGACCCCAGTTGGCAACTCTCGTCTAAATTCCCTCTTGTTAAATGATCACCTATTAATTGACACCTATTTATACTACGTGTATTAGTTTATATAGAATGTTAAAAACAGACTGAATTATACATTAAAGTTCCCCTTCTCCCTTGCCACAGGTGAGGGCAGCCTTCGGAGGACGCTGACACCTGATATATTTCTCGTATTCTATTGTAACAAATATTCCCTTCCGACTCCTCTCTTGGGATTCAATAATTTATTCCGGGCGCTACTTTCTCTTTATTCCTCCTTCTTATTTACTACTTTCTCCTTATTTGTATTTCTCTTCCAATATTTTTTCTTTCTCTTTTCCCGCTTTATTACACTATGATATCAAAGGAAATAATTCAACAAATATATATACCTTTCTTGCATACTGCTTTTCTTATATCTTTGTTCTTAGCATTATTCTTGTTTCCTTACAGAACTCAGAGTAACTTACACTGTTATCCCTCACTAACACTACTCTATCTCTCAAGCACTACTCTCCCGCCCTCTTCCCATAGCGCTACTCTATTTCTCTGGAACTACTCATTCGACATTGCATTGCTCTCATTTCTTATCGCTAATCTTCTTTCTCCATACTATTCTCCGCCTAGAGCTACTCTCCTTCACCACCACTACTCTTCCTAGCACTACTCTTCCTAGCACTACTCTTCCTAGCACTACTTTTCCTAGCACTACTCTCCCTTCCACTATCCACTTATTTCTTTGTGCACAGCTCTGCTCCCATGAGCTGCTCACGCCTCACAGCCTTTCTTGGGGAGAAAATACCGTAGTAACATATTTTTATCTACATTACATAAACAATGTTTTTATAGGTTCGTGGAAATTGGTAATACAATTTTCTGACCGCTCTACGACCTCACATCAGCTGTTCCTCAGGACACGAATTACAAAATTCTTCTGTGCATCTGATATTGCTTTCATACAAAAAATATATGTGCGGAATGAAACGTATGTGAATGATGTGTAAAAAGTTATAGGTCTACTACTCCTTTCATTGTATATACACAATGAGAGTCCTTGAGTGTGTTGAGGACTAAGATATAGTTGCTGATTGGTCAGTAAGTTGTTGTGTTAACTTTCCAACAAGATATTGAAGGGTCTTCAGCCATATACCAGATTATTACTCGGAGAAAAGTTAGTGGATGGATAACATTTTTTTTACTTATAGCTGCATTTTGAGAATTATTGTAATGACCACTATATAAGCGATACATCAACGGTAGTCCTGTCATTGATGGTACTGATGTGGGCGCCGTCGGTGGTGTCCTTGGCGATGTGGGCGGCCGTGACGGCGTGGTGGGCGCAGAACGAGTGGTGGAGGGCGAGACGCTACACATGCGCAAGGTCTCCAGACTCCAAATGGGTTCTTACCTCTGCATCGCCTCCAACGGTATACCTCCATCCATCAGCAAGCGGACTCAGCTAAGGGTGCAGTGTGAGTACTCAACTCCTCTTTGGTAGGGAAGGAAGGGAAGGATAAAAATAAGGTAGAACGGGAATGGTTATGGAAGAGAGTCAGAGAAATGTGTGAAATTTAAACCTAAATAAAATGCAAAGTCGAATATAAAAGGATGAGATGTGAAGCCAAATTAATGCAGACGAGGAGTCACAATAACGTGGCTGAAATATGTTGACCACACCACACACACTAGAAAGTGAAGGGACGGAGACGTTTGGGTCCGTCCTGGACCATTCTCAAGTCTCCAGTATGTGGTTTGGTCAACAAACCAAATTAATGTCTGAACATTGGAGCATCAAAGACCAGATCACATGATAGAGTCTCTTCATGTGAAGATGCTGGCGTCATATGACCAGAGTTCATATATCTATGTATGTTAACAAATAATTGTGAGCTATGACAATGCTAAAGTGTGGAAATAACGTCAAAAATAAGTGCAGAAAAGCAGTTGTTCACTGGTCACTGTGTTGTGGTCCTCCGTCGCATCAATGTTGAACTTGTGATAAAAGTATTACTTGATGGCGAAAAAGAGAAGGTTACTATCAGGGGAAAGCGCCAAGCCATTACGACTATATGTGACTTGGAATGGATCAGGATAAGGATTTGGGATGGCACGGGGGAAAGGAATGGTGCCCAACCACTTGGACGGTCGGGTATTGAACACCGACCTCCATGAAGCGAGACCGTCGCTCAACCGTCCAGTTCAAGTGGTTGGGCTAGCTGCCAGGTGGAGTGAATTCGACAATATGTTCAACTACCGCACAAGTCCCACAACAACTTCAAGTATCCATAAAAGGCAAAGAAAGTATTTTGCACAAATGCTGCCAGTAGGAGGATCCAGTTTGATCCAATGTGGCCGGAAGTTCCTCAGCCCCATGAAACATTGTTCGCTCGAGTTGGAGAAGGAAAATCCTCCCGATCATCCTCTGGTCTGAACATCCATTTACTATCATAGGGTTTTATTTAGCCATTCTTCGTGCTAGAAGCCATTTTTAACATGGGGTGACCCTCCCAGGTGAAAATAGTTATTCATCAACATGGCCTAATGGTTCCCCGATGAATGTGGCCTTGGGAATGGCAGTTTGAGTATGTAAATTTGAATGCATCTGTATTCACCATGCTGTACTCACCTAATAGTGTGTACTCACCTATTTGTACTCACCTATTTGTACTAGCGGGAGTTGAGCTTTGGCTCTTTGGTCCCGCCTCTCAACTGTTAATCAACTTGTATACAGATTCCTCAGCCTACTGGGCTCTATCATATCTACATTTGAAACTGTGTGTGTGTGTGTGTGTGTGTGTGTGTGTGTGTGTGTGTGTGTGTGTGTGTGTGTGTGTGTGTGTGTGTGTGTGTGTGTGTGTGGGTGTGTTTGTGTGTGTGTGTGAATGCATACGAACAAAATCAAAAGTTATGAGGGCAGCTAGGTAGAAAAATATACTATTAATCGTATTGAAAACGAATGAAAACTACATTTCCATCGAGATCAATATTCGTAGCATTTCTTAAATGTACCGCATTCATATATTACTCATTTAATAGTGCCATGGTTTGTTGGTCAGTCCCGCCGGTGGCGTGGGTGCCACAACAGTTGGAGGGCGCCTACCTGGGCCAGGAGCTGACCATCGAGTGCCACACTGAGGCATTCCCTAAGAGCATCAACTACTGGACCAACACCAACGGTGATATGATCGTTGCAGGTGAGCAACAACGACTTTGTTGGTCTCAATAGACTTTTTTTGCAAGCGGCAGGAGAGGTTGATTATTATTTCAATGTTTACATAGATGTAAACATTGAAAGACGTTCCCAATAACATTATGAGAGAAGAGGTAATGCAGAATTCATAACAGTAATAAGATTATGTATTGCTCTGAAGATTGAAGCATTAGTTAGGGTTTGTGTGAATATTTATTTAGCTGTATTTACCTTCGTAAACACACATGGTAGAATTGCAGCTTGTGATCTCGTATCTCTGCTATCCATCGACCAGGATAGTTGGTTAGTATTCCCTGTGTTCTATCATTTATCCATATATAAAAAAAATTCTCATTTTTTTCTATATCACTACATTTTCATATAAAGTAGTGAGTGTATATGAGTCCTTGAAATATGCTCATATTCAACGGCATTTTCTGGCCTTTGGTTTATTTTTCCTCCAGTGTGTCCAAAGAGGCCGCTGCTGATCCACTTAAATTTACTTAATGTAGGGAACTTGTTTTAAGCAGGACTTTAACCACCTATGTTTAGGATCTTTGATAACTCAAGACTATTTTTCGACTTGTTGGCTGTAGAAACTCATTCTCTCAATGTTTGTGCTCTTCAGTCTGTTTAGTCAATTTTCCAAGGGTTTCCTAGGATGTGAGGACTTCCGTATGCGTATGTTGTGTTTGTATATACGTACGGGTGTTTGAATGTGTTTATGTATGTATGCGTGTGTATGTATTCACTTAGTTGTGCTTGCGGGGGTTGAGCTCTGCTCTTTCGGCCCGTCTCTCAACTGTTAATCAATCAACTGATTTTTCCTCGTCCTCCCAACACACACACACACCCAGGATGCAGCCCGTAGCTGCTGTCTAACTCCCAGGTACCTATTTACTGCTAAGTAACAGGGAGATCAGGGTGAATAAACTCTGCCCATTTGTTTCCGCTATCGCCGGGGATCGATCCCCGGTCCCTAGGATTACGAGTCCAGAGCGCTTTCCATTCAGCCACAGGCCCCTGTAATGTGTGTGTGTGTGTGTGTGTGTGTGTGTGTGTGTGTGTGTGTGTGTGTGTGTGTGTGTGTGTGTGTGTGTGTGTGTGTGTGTGTGTGTGTGTGTGTGTGTGTGTGTGTGTGTGTGTGTGTGTGTGTGTGTGTGTGTGTGTGTACTTATCAAGATGTACAAACTTAGATGTTTTCACAGGGTCAAGTTCCACTCCAAATTTCGTCTCCTGATAATTCTTAGTTGAGTTTAATATTTAAGATTCACATAAAATGTGCATTATATTTACACTTAAAATTGCTTACTGGGTCATCATCAACCACAACATCGTCCTACCCGTTCAACTACTAACAATTCTAACACTGAAAAAGGTCTTTGTGACAATTCAGTGACCCATTACTGACTGGTTTTTATCCATATCTTTCATTCTGCTGTTCCTTGGTTGAACAATGCTTCTTTAAGTACTTTGCTATGTCCCTCTAAAATCTGTAATGTTGCAATAATATCCTTAATATCCCCCCCTATCCCAGTTTAATGGGATCAGGTTCCGTCAGGCTTTTCCCATGGAAAAATTCATAGAAGCAGGACGGTGGGATTATCCGTCCAAAGACACATGCAATACCCCTGGACCACAATATGCTTTTAGCGTGTCTGAAAGTGGACCAGGAAGCGCGTTCGATCCCCACTGTCCTACTACAAACATTTAATCATTGATATACTAGTTGTTTTGATTTCATTGTGTTTCCCCAATGCTCTGGCGAGATACCTATAACAGCCTTCTCCGTGCTCGTGATACAGCGTCCTCCCTGCCCGTGATACATAATACAGTGTCCTCCCTGGCCGCAATACATAATTCAGCCTTCTTCCTGCACCGACAGATGACCGCTATGAGCCTATCGTAGCAGAGAGTTCCTACAAGGTATACATGAAGCTGAGGATCCGCCGGGTGGAGGCCCAGGATATCGGCACCTTCCGCTGCATCGCCAAGAATTCCCTTGGAGAGACAGACGGAGTTATCCGGGTCTACGGTGAGTCTAACATGTGTGTGTGTGTGTGTGTGTGTGTGTGTGTGTGTGTGTGTGTGTGTGTGTGTGTGTGTGTGTGTGTGTGTGTGTGTGTGTGTGTGTGTGTGTGTGTGTGTGTGTGTGTGTGTGTGTGTGTGTGTGTGTGTGTGTGTGTGTGTGTGTGTGTGTGTGTGTGTGTGTGTGTGTGTGTGTGTGTGTGTGTGTGTGTGTGTGTGTGTGTGTGTGTGTGTGTGTGTGTGTATTGTGTATTGTGTGTGTAAGAGTGCGTGTTTGCGTTTGATATACAATAGTCATTACAAAGAAATAAAATAATCGACACAAAAATACTTTTATTCCCCAAGAAAGATCAGTAAAATTTTGTTGTGCAGTAGGTTAAGAGTACCTCAGGAAGATCCCATGTCTCGTGACTGTATACACACGATAGAATGTAAATACGAGTAGAACAACTGGCGATATATAATAAATTAGTTACTGCTTTTGAGGTATCGAAAGTGACTAATGAGAATCTGTCATTTTACTAGATAATTGTATCTTTACTGTTCATATATCTTTAGATATCCAAAAGGTATCTTTAGATACCCAAAAATTTTTGCCGCGTATTACTCCGTAAAGAAATTTGCACACAATACTAATATTTGTTAGCAGCACAACAGCACTGTTATCACCCAGTAGCACAACACTTCTATCGTCTAGTAACACACAACAACACCTGCATATCGGTCAGTAACACACACACACATCACCATATTCAACATCACATAACACCCTCAGCCTCCAGTAACACACAAACATCCCCGGAAATACATATGTTCCAAAACCTTCACGTAATAAAAAGTTTCCTCGTTTTTTTCCCTAGGAAGAGAAATTCGTTGCCGTCAGCAACGCACCCACCGCCGTCCCCTCCAATCCCTGCAGTTCCCTACGTGTTCCAGTACCTCTCTTTTGCCATCTATTTTGTGTGTATCCTCCCCGACACCAGACTCGGTTTGCTTAGATTGCAGGTGGAGCGGTGGTTTCAAGATGAGAGCATCCTTCGCTGCCCGTTTTCCCTCACCCCAATAGCGTATACGGGCCCTCTGCGGAACATAAAAATCGTCAGACTATCATAAGACATTCTACTGGTGTCCAGGCGAGGCGTCGTGATTACGAAAGTGTGGCTCCACTTATCACTTCTGTCTTGTCTATCCCCTCATCGTCTATTCAGTTTTATGCAGTGCGCATCTCCCTTCCCATCATGACCATCTCGCTACTATCATCACCACTACGACAATCACCAGCAATGACAGTAGAGCCTAGTAGGGTTTGGACAAAGGTCAGTAGTGGTCTGCCTGGAGGTGTCGGTGACCGCCTAGTGTCTCCCAAGAGAGGGGTCGACCCACGAGGCCAGAATAGCTAGTTTCTGATTGTGTTCGCCCGACACTCTGTTCTTGCGAGTTACAACTGGGCCAGCCTCAGCACTTGTACGTTCCTTGTGCACTGATCGGGATGTATTAGGTTTCCTACAAAAAAGAAGTTTAAGTAACATAAGGTTAATACCAAAGTAGGATTACGGGTAATATTAATGTTTGTTCATGATTTTAAACATTTATATGTAATGTTACTGTAGTGATTTTATCAGTTAAGGTCTCTCCCAGCTGTCTGGAAATAATGGGTAACTAAGTTGACCAGACCACACTCTAGAAGGGGAAGGGACGACAACTTTTCGGTCCGTCCTGGCCCATTCTGCTGGTCTAGGATCGTCCTGGATAATGGTCCAGGACGGACCGAAACGTCTTCGTCCCTTCACCTTCTAGTGTGTGGTCTGGTCAACATACTTCAGCCACGTTATTGTGACTCATCCCATGGAATGGGTAACTAATTTAAGATAAACGTCTAGATAAAAACAGGCGACATTCTGATATTGGCGGACGATAAGAAAAACCAAATCTGAAATGAGTGGCTTTGACCCAACACCGCCAAAACCCTTTTCACCGCTTCTACCCTGGTTCACAAGCATCCGTATACAGATTCCAATAAAGAGATAAAAGAATCATCTCCATCCTTAAGTTATAAGAGTTATAAGTATGCTCCATCCCGAGCATACTTATAACTCTTCCCATAGAAGTGTTCCCGGTTATCGATGAATAATATTGCATTAGCTTCGCAATATTTCAGAAAACGGAAATTGACTCCAATTGCCCTGGACATTTATTGACTTCTAGCTGCCCGTCTTGGAAGAATGCCACATGTAGTCGGGATCTTTTTACTTGCTCTTTACTAACTCAATGACTGTTTTATACTTTTGTATCAGCGTCTCGCTCCAAACTACTTCCTAAATCATTTCATCCAACTCTAATGCAAATGACGGGTTTATTCCCATTACCAGCTATATTATTATCCATATTGCTAACAATAATCCCAATTCCGGCTCCCGGTCAGAAACCTGTTTCCCGTAACATTGGCTCAGCTACCTTGCTTACAAATTTGACCTTGTTTACACACCTGATTTGGTTTACACACCTAACCTTCTTTCCACATCTGACCTATGAATCGCCAACAACCAAGCCTTTCTTACGTCTATTAGAGATTCTTTTGTCGTCTTACCATCTTGGTGAACTACATCCTCCCTTCTACACTCAATGCAAAGTGTACATTTAGAGGTCTTCAAGAAAGGTGTGGCAAGCCTCTTCACAGTCTTCCTAAAACTGATGTCTTAAGAACAGTTTTAAGGATACGATCTCCAAAGTTTTTAGCGTCCTCCTGTGGACGCACGTTGCTTCATAGGCCTTAGACTCTAGCGTTGTGTACACCTCTACTCTTACAACACCACTCATCAGTTGATTGATGGTTGAGAGGCAGGACTAAAGAGCCAGAGCTCAACCCCCCGCAAGTACAACTAGTTGAGTACAACTACGTGAGTACACAGTCACTAATAACCCGTTTCATTACGGGTAAATCCAAAATCAATTTGCCTACTCTGTTCTAAAAATTATTTATATAAACTAACAATGCCACAAGGAGTCGGAAAGAATATAATATGTGGAACAGGAAGATTGTGTGATTTACTTGTTCACAAAAGCACTACTAAATGGATAGGTTTCAGTGCAATATTTGACCCTTTAACTACCGTCTTAGAAACATCCCGTGTAAGGTGAGGATACTGAACTACCGTCAGACAACTTACCGCGAGAATGACCTGGACTTCGTACACTGAACAAAAGGCAAAACTATTATTTGCATCGTGTCTAGGAGAGGGTCTTCTTACTGAAGACTGACAGACAGGAGAGGGAAGCCATGTACCACCCATTCTCTGTATTGTACCTCACTGCTGCCACTGAGTAACCACCACCTACACTGGTACCACACCACCATTTATGCTGGTACCACACTATCATCTACACTAGTATTCCACCACCATCTACCTTGCGGTTACCGTGCGATGATTCCTGCGGCCCGGTCCTCGATCAGGCTTCCTCGTTGCAGGACTGATCAACTACGCTGTTAGACGCGGCAGGTCGCAGCCTGACGTATGAATCACAGCCTGGTTAATCCACAACTTATACTGAAACCCCACCACAACCTACTCTGGTACCATTCCAGCATCTACAAGGGTACCACACCACCACAACATCCATTACCTCTGCTCTCACCAATATTTCTTCCAGAGCATCACCAACACTACAACCACTATTTCCTTCACTATCCGCCCTCAATCCCCACTTCTATTACTAACACCACCAAAACAACAACTACCCATCGCTCTATTCAACACAACTACAAACACTCTCACCTCTGTTACAATATTGATAATCTTTTTAACTTCACTCATATCTAACCAACTTTTCCTCGAAATTGTGTTGAATTTTACCAGATTTACCAACTATTATACATATATCCTAATCTTCAGACACGCCATTACTCCTCATTATACAGTTCATATAACATATAACAGTTCATTATATGATAACATCACTATGAGCATAGTGAGTGGACGTTGTCATTACTCATGAAGAGACAGTTCATTCGAGTTATTTACTGTCTGATTAGATTAACTTTCCAAGATTCTTCCGCGTCATCCAATGAGCTTTGGTAAACATGGTTACACAGGGGGAAGATTTATCTAAAAAATTTACAACTAAACAGTACTCTTTCCACCGTCCTAACAAGACCGCTCTAACATGCCCCAGCAGTTTTAACAAGACCCTTAACATGCCCCAGCAGTTCTAACAAGACCCTTAACATGCCCCAGCAGTTTTAACAAGACCCTTAACATGCCCCAGCAGTTTTAACAAGACCGCCTAACATGCCCCAGCAGTTTTAACAAGACCCTTAACATGCCCCAGCAGTTTTAACAAGACCGCCTAACATGCCCCAGCAGTTCTAACAAGACCCTTAACATGCCCCAGCAGTTTTAACAAGACCCTTAACATGCCCCAGCAGTTTTAACAAGACCCTTAACATGCCCCAGCAGTTTTAACAAGACCCTTAACATGCCCCAGCAGTTTTAACAAGACCCTTAACATGCCCCAGCAGTTTTAACAAGACCGCCTAACATGCCCCAGCAGTTTTAACAAGACCCTTAACATGCCCCAGCAGTTCTAACAAGACCCTTAACATGCCCCAGCAGTTTTAACAAGACCCTTAACATGCCCCAGCAGTTCTAACAAGACCCTTAACATGCCCCAACTGTCAAAACAAGACTTCTAACATGATCAGCTGTCCTAACAAGATCCCTAACATGTTCCCTTCGGCCTAACAACGCACGTAACATGCCTCCGCCGGGCTAACAAGTTCCATTGTATATTGCCGCCGTTTTCACAAGGTCTTTAACACACATTTCCTTATCAGATAAAAACCTTTTTTTGACTGCAGAGGAGTAAACTTAAAAAAAAAATAATTCCACCATTATTGCCTGTTATAAACATCATAACATTTATCATAAGCATTAACAGACGTAAAATAGTTCTATTGGTTGGTAGCAGCAAAGGCAACCCTGGAAGCAAACCGAAACTGTCTCTATTTTCCGCTTGTTACAACTTGTAATAAAGTTGTTACATCTTGGCTTAACGTGTTTGTGACGTATTAGAACGTTGTTACAACTTGCTATATTGGTTGTTATAACTGTAGTTTCAGTGTGTGTTTGGCGGGAAGCGAGGTGTGGACACCTCTGGCAGAGCAACAACACTACGGAAGGAAAACCACGTGTGGCGGGGCTTTGTGCAGGCAGCGACGGACAACATGGCCCAGACGCCGCCTCGGGGACTCTCCACCTCGGCAGAGCCAAATACCTCACAAAGGAGGAAAATTACAGTGAGACAAACAGCTAAGCACACAATAAATTCTCGCTGGAGGGCGGAACGCAGCGAATGAGACTCTTTCAGAGTGAAGTTGTTCCGTTTTCTCTCAAGTGAGTCCAGCGGGCACTTGTGAAAATTTAACTCTAGAAGTGCGGCTTTATGTTGTGGGAAGACCTGGCGAGGGGGAAGGTCGGCCAGAAAGGTGTCATAGACTCAGGACTACCGGTGAGTGGTGTTGTTTCCTGTGGCCGGGAAGCACAGCCACCACTAGGGCATAGCAGAGGGGGGAAAGAGGAGGTGCTCGTCTACTGAAGGCTGGTACAAGACGAAGGGTGAAGGGGAAGCTGCAGGTATAGTGAAGTGTGACGCAGGGAGAAGCTGCAGGTATAGTGAGGTGTGACGCAGGGAGAAGCTGCAGGTATAGTGAGGTGTGACGCAGGGGGAAGATGCAGGTATAGTGAAGTGTGACGCAGGGGAAAAGGCTGCTGGTCTACTGAAGTCTGAAGAGCCAACAGACGTGATGGTGTACTGATCCAGTTTTTTTCACCACCTGTTCCATGAAATTTTTATTTTCCATCGAACACCATAGTGATACTGTCGACTTAGGAACGATGCACTTTTATCCCTCAAATCCCAGACTGACTATGTAGAAACATACGCAACGGCCGATAGCCCCCTCCCCTTCCCACCTTGCCAAAGATTCATAACAGGCTGTCAGAGATTCCTGCACTGATTCAGGGGTTTCCCTCCCAGCACAGCTTTTTGTTTTGTCTGTTTTTTCCTGACACTTCCAGATAATTTCGACAGTGCTCCAGCACCTCTCCTACTTGGAATGATACTAGTCATTGTGGCTTCTGATCCTCTGAGTCACACAACGCAACTTTATGCAACATCCTGGAGCTCTCATCTCACTGATGCAACATTCTGGGCTCCTAGCTCAATGATGCAACAAACCTTGGAGCTATACCATATGGGCATTACTACAACGGGCTCACCATAACCCGTGCTACTTGGAACTTTTGGTTCCAGGTAGCAAATCTTAAACAACAACAAATATGGGCATTCCAGCTAATGTGATTGACGAAAGTTTGCTACATCCTTATGTTCCTTGCGTAAGCTATATAACATTGATAGCAACAACCTGGTAAACCTAAGTAACTGACACACAAAGTTTGGAACATCCTGGACTCCCAGATCTCTGATGCAAAATGGCTTGCGACGCCTCAAGGATCCCAGCTGAAGCTGTCACAAATATTACATCATCCTGGGACTTGAAGCCTACTGATGCAACAAAGTTTCCAACATCCTTTAACTCCCAACTCACTTATGCAATAAGTCCCAGCTCAAAAGTTCTAACAAAGCTTGCTGCAACATCTTGCAATAGAGCTCAGTGATGCAAAATACATTGCAACATCATAGAACTCCCAGTTCTTTTATGCAGCAAAAGTTGCAACGACCTTGGGGGTCCCAGCTCAACTTATTACTTCCCCTTCTTGCCACTGCTTCTCGGGTTACTTTGCGGGGACAATAGACCTAAATTTAATTTGTTGGCCATTTCGTTTTCTCCGTATTTTTCCGCGGCGTATCACAGAGCTCCGTATAGAGAAGTTTTCTTATGATATATATATAGCAAACAACCTTGGGTTGAGGTCCGGGGTCAGGGTCCAGGAGCACCTCGTCTGAGGGGCGACCTTACTGTTTGTCTTCTCCGTAGAACTTTGTGCCTTAAAGTGCGTCAGAGAAAGGTTTAAAATTCATTGATGACTTCCCAGGAATCTCGTAATAAAATCAATGTCTTAGACCCTTCTCCCTCGGAGCTACCTTTTTACCTCGGGTCTAGCACAAGTAGATTAAATTACTCTTCAATCTACATAATTTATTCAGACTTCCATCGAGGAAGGTAACTGAGTTTGCTGGTAAAGGCGGAGTTGGTATTGTGGGCGGCGGCGTCCTCGTGCCGCCCACCTGCACTCTTCACTTATATCACTCCTAAATCATGTTATTTATTTTTGGATTTTCCTTCAACTTTTATATTAACTTAGTCTCCATATTGAGTTTATAAATGTCATGGTCGCCACTTCCCACATTTTAATGATCTTCAGCTGTTAATAATATATTTTCAGTCATTTATTTGACTTTATTAAATGCATTGCAGAGCATAAGTGTATTATTCATTCAGTTAGTTATAATTTGTTATGAATAAAGATATTTATTTTATTTCTGGTCCAAGTACTTTTATTGGACTATGAACCCGCGACCTGTGAGCGTGGTAGTAACAGGATCAAGCAACATTGACCTCAGGAACAAATGCAGAAATGTATGCAAAATTGTAAACATACTCCAATTACTTATTTATCGTGTATGTAGCTCTTAAAAAATCTATTTCAGTTATTTTAGCTCGCCAATATTCAACACTCAAGATATATGTAAGCTTCTCATTCCTAAAAATGTTTAGTCTCACACGCTTTAATTCCGTCTCCGGGTTATCTTGAGTAGAGAGATTTCAGCTTAAGATTTAAGCTTAAGCTTAAAATTTCCACTATATGACACGGATGAGTCAAGGATGAGTCCACTATATGACTCGTATGAGTAATTCTCAGAAGATGATTGCAGTGGAATCATCATTACCAGTCTTGATGCTTTATTATGTAGACAAATTGTGCAGTGCATGATATTTCGTCACCTAATGAGTCAATGGACAGCTCTCTGCACAATGCATCCTTCTAAGTTGTTACCTGATGAGTCAATGTGAGGATCTTCCTGCACTCTGTGTCATCATGCTAAGGTGTTACCTGTATAGTCAATGAACAGCCTAATACACTTTGTTTCCATAAACTAACGACGTAACTGTAAATTTGCTCCCGTAGTGTGTAATATTGACACAAGAACCCGCCATTTAGTGACTTTTCAAGCTTATTTCAGACACTATACAATGCTATAAATTTGCATCTTTGGTGTTTCTGGAGGTATAACACATCATACAATCAGCAGTTACCTCCGATCTCTCAGGTGGTAAGTTTGACGATAAAAGAAACATAAATAACTGGCTGCTGCCTTAACTTAGAGAACTCCGAGAGGGGGTTTCACAGCGTGACTGATTCTCACTCACTAACACTGGTTAGACAAACCATTCTCCACCCACTTGCACTGGAAAGGCAACTCATCCTTCAAATATCTTGTCTTTCTCAGCAGTGGAACGGTAGGTGTTATTCTGAATATATGTTTATGTTTGTTTTTAGTTTGAAACACTCACCTGCAGTTGTGTAGTTGTGTATCATAAACATTATCGTGTATTCGTGTGACCTTTTATACATTACCTGTGCACCTCATGAATGTCTGTGAGCCTAATGTATACAGTCTTTAGTTTTACACAATCGGGCTTTAGGACATGTCCACGCCTGCTCTAGTTATATATATATATATATATATATATATATATATATATATATATATATATATATATATATATATATATATATATATATATATGTCGTACCTAGTAGCCAGAACTCACTTCTCAGCCTACTATGCGAGGCCCGATTTGCCTAATAAGCCAAGTTTTACTGAATTAATATATTTTCTCTAATTTTTTTCTTATGAAATGATAAAGCTACCCATTTCATTATGTATGAGGTCAATTTTTTTTTATTGGAGTTAAAATTAACGTAGATATATGACCGAACCTAACCAACCCTACCTAACCTAACCTAACCTATCTTTATAGGTTAGGTTAGGTTAGGTAGCAGAAAACGTTAGGTTAGGTTAGGTAGGTTAGGTTGTCGAAAAAAAACATTAATTCATGAAAACTAGGCTTATTAGGCAAATCGGGCCTTGCATAGTAGGCTGAAAAGTGAGTTCTGGCTACTAGGTACGACATATATATATATATATATATATATATAGTCTCACTTCACCCCATGTTGTTCACTGCTGCACATACTATAAGTCGTAGCTACGACCGTCCTGCCCGCATGTTGACACACGCCTCTCCTCTTGCCGCCACAGAGATAGAACCTCCTAAAGCTCACAGCAACGGTGTGTTTGGCGCGGAGGAGGGCGAGGTGGACTCAGGGGACGGTCCACCGCCAACGGCTACCCACCATCACAATAAAGGTATATGTACCCTCTTCCCCTTTATGCTTACTCCTTCACTTCTTACCCTTCCGTCTAAGCCCTCTAGAAAAGCCCTCTGGAACGAACGCCATTAAGGCCTTGCAAACTTTGTTCTTCAGGTATTTCCCTATACACTACATGAAACCCTTCCCAACACACACTCAATCCCTCCCCCAACACTCTCTCAATCCCTCCCCCCAACACTATTCCCTCATGCCCTCCCCAACACTCCCTCAAATCGTACCCAAAATTCTTTCATAGCCTCTTCGACAATCCATTAAAATCTTCCCAGCACTCTACCTCACAATGTTTTTTTCTTCAAAAATATCCCAACACATTCACACGTATTTTTTTTCCATTCTACCCCTTCCTCTTTTCACCCTGTTTCTCTATTTCTTACACTTTTGCTGTGTCACAACCTGCCACACTTTTTTTCTCTCATGTTTTATTTCTCACTCTTTGACTGCCTACTTTTCCAGCTTTATTGTCCCTCACATTCTCGCTCTCAGACCTTCCATTTCTCCCTCTTTCTCACAGCTGTTATCTCACACTCACACTTCCTCTCACTCTATTTTCATTCTGTCTCATACGCTCTCTCGTGCCCTATTTTCACTCTCTCAAGCACACACTTTCTACCTTTTTCACGTGTTATCTCACTCTCCCTTGTAGTACGTCCTATAGAACTCTCACACTGTCACACTTTCTTACATACACTTCCAAACACTCATTAATAATCCCTCTTGCATACATTCTGTCAGATTTTTCTCGTAGCCTCACGCTCTTCAACACCCACTTTCTTCCCCTACCACTGGATAACAAAGACGCTTCTTGTACAGACTCCCTCAGCCTGAAGCACAGTTTTCCCCACAATCTCTCGCACAGACTACTGGAAGCCTTTTGCAGAGATTCCGCTAAAGCTTCTAAAAATGATAGCCTCTATCACAGATATTTCTAAACTTCTTGTATAAAATCCTCAAAGCCCTCAGCACAGACTGTGTGCAGTTTCTCTAGCATATGTCCTTACAGGCGCAAGTCGGAGTTTCCATCACAGCCTTTCACAAAACAATCTCTGGCACGTCAAGCTCATGACGCACCAGCCACCGATGCATATAAAGAGAACTAGATCCAAATTGAAATAAAAGAACGTAAGCTGTGGTCTCATATCTGTGGGAGAATGGTGGGCAGAACTGGGAGTAGTTACTTCAGCAGCCTTACTTACATCCTTACTAGTAACCTCGTAGTACATTATCACATGCTCTCTCGGGGCCTTATTTTCACAACATCTCATTAGTGCTCTCGAAGTCTCTCGAATCCTCCGACATACCCTCTCACCCTTACGAACTTTTTCTCACACACCCTAATACCTTCTCTCGCACTCACTCGCACGACCTTTCTCACATCCTCCCATTGCACCCATTGCAAAATATAACGAATCTGGAGGGTACGCTGATGTTACATGGAGTGTGTGAAAAAATACCAAAATGGGAATGCAAATTACCTTTTTCCGTGGTAACTGGTTTTTGTGTGTGACCTTGTGATGGTGGAATTCCTTCAGGGTGAATGTAATAATTTGTAATTTAGAGCCAATTGAGGGAAAAAAGTCGAATAGCTTGCAGAATGTCAGCACAATCGCACTAATGATTAACTAAGCCACGGAGAGCTAATGGCAACCGATCCAGAAATTCAACCGAGCATCTAAATGTATAGTACATGTATTCAAAAGCTCCCATGGATCATATTGAGAGCGTTTAACACCTAAAATGTAAATTGTGGGTACATATAGAAAATGTAATGTCATATTTTTTCAAAGTTCCTAACTTATTGTTTTATAATTGTTCATAATTTTTATCATTCTGAACATAAGTGCGACATTGCCCTATGCCCCTGTTACCTAGCAGTAAAATAGGTACCTGGGTGTTAGTAAGCTGTCACGGGCTGCTTCCTGGGGGTGGAGGCCTGGTAGAGGACTGGGCCGCGGGGACACTAAACAAACCCCGAAATCATCTCAAGATAACCAAGATAACATGCAGACGATGAATCACAATAACGTGACCAAAGAAAAGATGTCCAAACCACACACCAGAAGATGAAGAAACAATGAATATTTTGACTTTAACATTCCCAAGTGTCGGAAAAACCCGACACCATTTACCAACTTTCAAATTAACTCATAGAAAATGAGGCACAGTGGAATTTCCCTATGTAGAAAATGGGGGATATCATTGCCATATATCGTCAATAATCTCACCACCTAATATTGGAAATCTTCTTAATACCTTAGTCTCTGGACAGTTAACATCGTAAAGACATTTCCCTTGAATCAGCTTAATTATCAGTACTAAAATAGAGTAAATGTAGGCCCTCTTTTCACTTGTTGACGACATCTGGACAAGACAACCGAGGCATCAGTAGGAGGGTGGTACCTCCTCTGGTTTTTCGCTGCAGCAGGTTTTCGCTGCTCGAAAACCTGCTGCTGAGGGTTTTCGCAGCAGCAGTGCTGTTATAATTATAATTACACGTTCAAAAACTAGAATAGGCAAGTAGAATAATCAGATACAAAAAACCAAATCAACAGTTGAGTTTATATTAAAATCTTGAAAGTTGTTATACCAATTGCTTTTAATATAGATTTTGTTTCCTGAATGCCAATAACAGAACGGAATAAGTACGAGAATTACCTCCACCCGAAAGGTATCAACGACCTTAATGATCAGCATCGACATTCCAAGCCCAACGATGCCAAAGGTGAGTAGAATCGTTTCTTTCTAACTTAATGCCTCTCTACATTTTTTTTTGTGTAATAATAAAAGTAGATTCCCGGCATCCTCTCCGCCTGGTCGTACGCCGTCTCAATACAACTCAGTGACAGTAGATATGACAGGAGTTGAACTGATCAATTCTTGGGGATTCAGGATTCTTTTAGAGTTTCAGCTAATCAATTGATTACTTAGGAATGGCACTACCACATGAGGACTGTGTCAACTGCAGCATTTGGATGCGAAAGTAGACAACATAGTTGTTCTCTTGATGGCTAATTTAGTAAAACAATTTATTTGTTATTTCTGTGTAAATATTTAGTATTTGTTAAATACCAATATTTAAGAAAAAGCATATAGCGTAGCATAATTTGATACTATATTGACCTGTTCATTTTTATATTAAAAATTTTTCGACTTGAAATTTTATCGGCACGAAGAAGTTAATTTTTTCAAACACGATTGATATAATTGTTGAAAACATTTTACCTTCGAATTAACAATATTTTTGCCAATCAACACATATATGGATAATTTAAACCTGATAAACTCTGGCATTTTTTACAAGAGATTTTAAACATGATATATAATTACGATTTTTTGTACATATCTGGGATATGGATTATCCTAAATAACCCTAAATTGAGTCTGTTCGTGTATATTATATGTAATACTGACAATATCCAAGAATACAATTTTAAACAATTAAATAAAGCCTTCATTTCTTTCAGAAGAATTTTAATTAGTAAGAATTAAAAGTTTCATGTTTGATGAATCTACAGATAAACATGTGTTTGTAGTTTCACATGTATTTGCAGTGTCGTTAGATGTTAAAATAACGCCATCTATATTCCCTGCCAGAGTCTGGCCACCGCAGCACCGCCCACCATGGACGACGGCCGAACTACGGCAGCTCTGCAGAGCACGACAGCGCGACCTGTCTCCTCTCCTCCTCTGCCACTACTGTCAGTCTCACCCTAACTGCGCTTCTGGCCCACTGGGCGGCCCGCTTCCCTCTAGCACCTCACCTTTAGGGATCTTCAAAGAAAAAAGTATTTAATTCTCCGTGTATCGCTTAACCCGATGAGTGTTCAATCGTAATTTCAGAGACACCATTACCAATGATCTTGCTACTGATGCTACCAGGTGATTTTTTGTTTTTTGGTTATGCCTTTGTTTATGTTATAGGTGTGAAGTGAAGTTGAACATCAGAAAAACATGCACTTTCAATGTGTTAGTGTAAAGAGTCCTGTGATCAAACGTGTTTCTGTCTGGAAAATAATGACAACATGAATCTCTGTGATGGAGGCCACTTGTTCTTCTAAAAACTCAACTCATGCCTGGTGATCATGCTGTTCATTCTTCACAGAAAGCTCATCACTCATTAGAGAAGATGTATTTATTTTTAATCTATGAACGCTAATTAATCAGTGCGAAAAAGTGCTTCTCTCTTAAATGTTCAGTCAAACTATACGTGGCCATAACGCACTACTCCTCCTGGCCTGGGAGTGGGACCCAATTCATCGCTCCCTCTTGGCCTGAGTGTGGGTTCAAGTTCGCCTTCTGGCCTCGGTGTGGACCCAAGCCCACCGCTCTCCTCCTGGCCTTGGTGTGAGCCCAAGCTCACCGCTCTCCTCCTGGCCATGGTGTGAACCCAAGCTCACCGCTCTCCTAGCCTCGGTGTGGGGCCAAACTCACCGCTCTCCTCCTGGCTTAGGTGTGGGTACCTTGCATCTCCGCTTGTATGTACTTTCTGAAACAAAATCATTTTTTCCGAAACTTACTCGCTGAGAACTGGCAGAATGAACATTGATTTTTATGCAAATTTTTGTGTCCAAAACATACTGAAAAGCTGAATATTAATTGAACGCTTTTTTGTAAGACTTTCCGATGACACACATGAAAAAATACTGAATATCACAATACCTTAAGGAAGCCACAGATATTATAAGTCACCAAATCTTTCACAAAAAACATAACGAAAGATGGTGATAGAGAAAGGCCATTGCTACTCGTGCCTGGTAAATATCGTAAGTATTCACGGGTTTCTCCCGTGACAAGCTTAGAAAACATTAACACGATATTGATTTGCTTTTTCATTTCTTAAGAATTTAGTTTTCTTAAGAAAACTTTCTTTATTTCTTAAGTTTTGTATGCTGTGTGAATACAAAACACACATTATATGCATGCATATATATGCAACAACGATTCCGAACACTTATCTATTATAATGCAGAATAACCACAACCATTTCAGTACATATTAGAGTGTGGGTGAGGGTGTGTGTGTGTGTGTAGGTGTAAATTATGAAAACTTAACATGTGATGAGTAATGTATGAATAATGTGTCACTGTGTAATCACGAAGGGAAATTAAACAATTACTTATGCTCCTTCGTGACAATCAACACATCAGAAGTATGAACATTACAATTAAGAGGAGGGAGATTTATAGGCACGAAAGATACATGTGACGAGGAAAAAGGCCAAAAAAAGTATGTCTTTGTAATATTAATTCATGGAAACTGTAGACAGCCTCATACCAACATATGTGAGTTCCAGTTAGCGACATCCCTAATGTGATAACTGTGTAATAATTATCTTACTAAAATCGTGTATTAATTGATTTAATACAATTGGATCCAAAGTGTACAAACCATTATGTAATGTTCATATTTTATTGGCTTTTCAATTTATATTAATACAGATTAAATAATGTTTCAATTAAAAATAAGTTTAAAATTTTTAATTGAAGAAGACCTCTCATAATCAGTTTGGTGAGAACTTTCTGACAAATGAATAAATATAGTGCACAGAGAAATCACATTATCGTGATATATCAATAGAGAAAATCCACAGTAGCGGTGATGAGGATTCGAATCCATGCACTGGGTATTCCCAGATGCACGCTCTATACGACTACGCCACAACATGGTAAAATAATTGTAGCCTGGAGTACTACTTCACCCTCGAGGATTCCCGAGGCTTCCACTGAACCCGAACCAGGGTTTCCACACAATTCCCCCATGCACTCTGGCTCTGTCGTCCTGAAGTTCTACCTCTTCAGAGTACATGGGGGGGTAATTGTATTAAACCCTAGTTCGGCTGCAGTAGAATCCTCGGGAATCCTCGAGGGTGTAATAGTACCCAGGTTGCAATTATTTTACTATGTCGTGGCGGAGTCGACTAGAGCGTGCATCTGGGAACGCCCAGTGCATAGATTCGAATCCTCATCACGGCTACTGTGGATTTTCTCAATAAATATAGTGTTCGATAATTTAAAAACAAAATTACAAAGTATATGTGGTGCAAAATTCGATTTTCTTTTTATTGTTTGACCTTTATAGAATGTATTACAATCTTTACAAGGTATTTTGTAAATTATACAGTTATCACTTCGAGGGCTGTTTCTAACTAATCTGTTCTCTATTTTGTGCTCTTTTTGTCAAACTAAAGAGAGAATTGATAGGAATTTTAGAACAATGTTCAATGAACGACTTATGGTATTTAATGTAAAGCCTATACGATATACAGTATTGAACACAGCATCCATACATTTAAATCTACATATCCTTAAGGCTCTTAAATACACGAAAGAAAACACAGCTTATTTTACTTTATCATAATGGGACGTGTATAAATATACCTTAGAACCAACATTTTGTTTTTTCTTTATACAGGAAACGAAATTATCTTTTTACTAGCAGAAAAAATGGAAAAAATTAATTTGTTCAACTTCTCTTAGGAACTTAACAGAATATTGATAGCTTATTTAATTACAATAAAAAAATTATCTAGATACCTACTTAATAGCTATAAGCAGAATACATCTTCAAAATATCGCAGCCAAATTTAGAGGAAAAGTTCTACTTAATAGTTTTATATCATTAAAATCCATGAATAAATTACTCAAAACAGGAGAAAGAGGGTTGCCATTATAATTGATTTTTTTTTGTATATAAAATTAATTATCATAAACAAAATAGAGTCAATAGCGTACAAAAGTTCCTCGGCTAAGTTTATGAATTAATTATGATGTTCGGGAGCAAACCATGGGAGATGCTCTTGATAGTTACTAACAATAAATAACTTCCATTATACATATGAAAAACGTCTTCGTGTATGAGCATCAACCTGCCAACAAAAATTCGTGTGTAAATATTTCGCTACACCCAGTGAGCAGGACGTGGCAGTAACAATGATGATTTAGACATATACACAATTTACAAACGCAATAATCCAAATGTTACTGATAATATATATATATATATATATATATATATATATATATATATATATATATATATATATATATATATATATATATATATATATATATATATATATATATATATATATATATATATATATATATATATATATATATCTATATATATATATATATATATATATATATATATATATATATATATATATATATATATATATATATATATTTATATATAAGCAATATCACAAATCAGCCCCGTTGCAACAGCTGTGCAAGATCTAAACAATTCTAACCAGTGAAAAGGGCCACGGATGACGAGAGATCCCAAAGCGATTTCAACGAGAATTCTGATGTCTAGAACACACGCTAAAAATTGTGTAGACGACCGAGTAAAGGGAACTCTTGAGCAAGGTTATGTGACCAGTAAGTGCAACTTTTAGGTCTCTAACAGTGTGGTTTTTCCGTCGCTGCACTCAGCATCATGAACTACTGTCGTCAGCAATTGGTGCTGACCTGGGAGAAGATTATTGCTGACTAGAGCCAGGAGAGCCACACACACCTGTACAAGATACCAAATGCCTGTTTACAGAATCGAAAATTTGTACACAGTATCATGTATGTGTACACAGTGTCAGACACCTGTCCCAAGTGTTAAGCATCGGTAAACAGTATGATTGACACCTGTGCACAGTGCCGACCATCCTAGCAAAATGCAAGATACCTGTATACAGCACTAGACACACTATACAGTACAGAAACTTCTATGCAGAAACATTCATGTGTGTATTGCACCAGTAATGTGTCTACAGTGTCAGATACATGTGTGGCGTTTCATACACCTGTTTACAGTGCCAAATATATATGCATACAATGTTAGAAATAGGTGTATACTGACAGCCAAAAGTATACACTGTCAGACACCAATATACAGTATTTGATGACAATTAATTTGGATCTTCATGTGGTTAAAATATTATCTATGGTCATCAATGAGTCAAGTATGTCTTTGAGACCTTCGAACCTGATTTATAAATCAGTCAGAAGAAACGCTGAATTGAGAGCTTTGTTTCGCCAGCAAGAAAATCAACAGAGATAATTGTGGTGGTGGTATGAGAGGAGGTAACGAGTGTAAGCGTGGTGGCAAATGAATAGAGGTGATGATTCTATCAGATGGCAGCGAACTTTACGGTGATAGCCATGGTATTCTTGCTTAAGGAGTCTGCGACTCCAGGCTGGAGAAATTGGCATCCGCTCGCTCCTTGCTTGCTGGAGGACTCTGTCAGTGCTGATGCCTATCAAAATGACTTAGTGCTGGGTCATGGCTATAGGCCTCAGCTATTATTGACTCTTGACTGGAAGATTGTCCTAGGGCTGACTCCTAATTGGGTGACTGTCAACACTGGCTGCTGTTGTACTGCTGGTTCCTGACTGGATAACTGCACAAGTGCTTTCAGGGACTTGCCACTGCCACTGATCTCTCTAACAGTTTTCTGGAATCAGTAGAGAGGGTGAGCTGTTGGGTATCATAAAGCAAATGCAGTATGTCATGCATAACTCATTGTGTTAAATCACAGAATGTCGAAATCTTCCAAGATATATTAGATTATATGCCAGAATTTGTGATTCAGAATTTACTAAATAATTTGTCAGTCTACTGGATATAATAGTGTATGTGTGAGCACTTGTCGACTTCTACCAAAACAACGCACCGTCTACGTATTTATCAAAATAAATGAACTATAAAATTAAGCTTTGAAACACACATTGAATGCAGTTTATGTTTTCCCTTCACTGTTCCGCCACTGAGGAATATTTCATCCCTAAGAGTGTGACAGAGAACATTTCTCATAGTCTAGTCGTCTTTACTAGATCCCCAAAGTGTAGCAATCATTTATAGAGTCCATCCTATCGCCTTCTATGTTGTCTCATAAACATTTTCATGTAAGGGGATTTTGAGTGGTGACACTTTATTCACAATAAATCATCTATCATGTAATGACAATTTTGTTTACATTTCTAGTCAATAATTTTGTTTCTTTCTTTTCTCGGCATTTTGGTTTCTCTTTATAAGTTGAACTACGTTAACAAAAGGCGACTACAAGCTTCTATTTGTCTTCCTCTCTATGGATCATTGACTTGTTATCCATTGTGTGAATATACCATAATGTATACATATCGCTTGTGTTGTTCAGTGCATTTAATATTGTGGTGGACACTTGGTACATAAGTGTCCAGGCGCATACTGGAGACTGCCACATTCCTCAGAGCGGTCCTCATGAGCTTATATTCATGCCTTGGTGCGCAGTGTGCCATCTTCCCCTTCACACTTACAATGCCTACACGAGTTCTTACATCCTATATCACACTGGATGTAAACAATATATGTAAACGGCAACTGCATTCTTGCATGTGTCTTCAGGATCACAAATCTTGTTAACACTTATGCTGTAATAGCCTCTGTGCCACATTGACACTGTGGAGAGAACTCGTGTGTGTAGAGTTGATGCTCAGTAGAGTACTGTGTGAAGTAGGGCGAGGCACTGGTTATGTCCTGTACATATACCTCATAACCACAAAATAAGGTGCATTATCACTAACAAATGTGTCTCCAAAATCTGTATGGCTAGTGTAGAAGGAAAGATGAGACATAATAGATATTAAACATTTCATGTGAATATATGCAATGATAGCTTATTGTATAACATTCTGAAGATGCCATAGTGTGTATCTTGGAGGGAGGCAGGGGAAGTAGTGCCTCACTTGCCTCTCTGTCAGTGCTTCACCCACGTGTGTATCTTGGAGGGAGGCAGGGGAAGTAGTGCCTCACTTGCCTCTCTGTCAGTGCTTCACCCACGTGTGTATCTTGGAGGGAGGCAGGGGAAGTAGTGCCTCACTTGCCTCTCTGTCAGTGCTTTACCCACGTGTGTATCTTGGAGGGAGGCAGGGGAAGTAGTGCCTCGCTTGCCTCTCTGTCAGTGCTTCACCCACGTGTGTATCTTGGAGGGAGGTAGGGGAAGTAGTGCCTCACTTGCCTCTCTGTCAGTGCTTCACCCACGTGTGTATCTTGGAGGGAGGCAGGGGAAATAGTGCTTCGCTTGCCTCTCTGTCAGTGCTTCACCCACGTGTGTATCTTGGAGGGAGGCAGGGGAAATAGTGCTTCGCTTGCCTCTCTGTCAGTGCTTCACCCACGTGTGTATCTTGGAGGGAGGCAGGGGAAGTTGTGCTTCGCTTTCCTCTCAGGAACGTGCTTCACCCACCTATCTTCTGCCCTCCACACTATTGTACATAATTACCTGAATCGACAATAAATGTTGAGCTCTAGCTCTGTTTTACTGACCCTTTATAACAATATGTTTCAAGCCACAACGAGACCTTAAAAAATTCAGGAAAGACAAAATTGCCAAACACATAAATGGCTTTTTCCTAACTGATGGAAGGAATATCTTTATATCCTTAAGAGATAATAAGTTACTTATTCAGAGTAACACGGATTCAAAACAGTAGTGATCCAAGACAACAGTGATCCAACAGAGCAGTGATCTAACACAACAGTATTCCATCACAACATTAATCCAACATAACAGTAATCCATCAGAGCAATGATCCAACACAGCAGTGATCAACCATGGCAGCGATCAACAGCAACCGAACTGGTCATCAATCAATCTGACGACGTAGAGATTAAGCTTATTTAGAAGCAAGCTTCTGAAACAATTAACCAAACTTTCATAACTTTATTAGAAACTTTTGCAGAGCCCCGCGCTCTCTCGATCAGACGTTTCAGAGAGATTATGAGATTATTTTTTAATTTACAATGCTGCCGTTTATACATGAATGCATCTTTCATGCTAACGTTGTAATAAATTGATATTTTCTTATCATTTTAAAATATACATTTAGTAGATACTTCGTAGAGATGCCTAATTATACTGATAAATATAATGAGAAGCCTAATTATATTGATAGAAACAAATCAAAGCGCTGAAATAAACTAAATAAGGATGAAATTATGCAGAAAAGGTCGGTTAGCCGGTCTTAGCTACATAGACTTGCATGCTCTAATAGTTTGCAGACTTATATGTTTTTCATACCAAGGACGTCCTCACTGGCATTCACATTAAGCTGTGAAATCAGAATCCATTATAGGGGTGTAATTAGTCCTCCAAAGAACCTTTAAACTCACCAAAATACTATGGTAATCAGTATATCTTAATTTTCCTAGTAATAATTTTGAAGAATCTCGTATCCACTTAGAAAAGATTGCAGCAGAGGCGGCAAGTTCGTTAAGTATAACTATAATACAGAAGTATCAGTGATGAGATCTTCTCCTTCAAAAAAATTAATTTAGGGTGTTAAATTTTTAAAAACTGTTCAAACAAGTTTTCAAAGCACATCGACTAATTGCAGAAAAATAATAATTATTATGCT